ATGAAAGAAACTTTGTCTACATAACAAAATTATTCGTTCTCGGTTAAAACTGACTTTTTTTATGCCAGAAAGTAGTTGTTAAATGTAAATCTTTAAGTCAGGTTGTCAACTCAACTTTTTAAGCTGATTAAGCTAATAATTGTCTGTTTTAAATGGCACTAAGTTAGTTTGGTTGCTCATTTAAAGCTGCGCTTACTTTGTGCTCACAGAAAAGATTCTCGCATTTCTGTATGCCGCGTGTCAAGTCGATTTTCAATAAAATTTACTCAATATAAATGAACTTTATTTAGTACAATTTTCCTGAGAGTGTGTAATATTAAAATCATTTTATTGATGATATTTTCAGTGTTGGTTCATCGAAACCAGACGGAAAAACACATGGACAGTTATGGACATCATATTTACTGACCAAACCTATTGCATGTCCTGGTGGAAATAACGATCGAACCGACCCAAAGTGAAACTATTGCTAAAGCAAGGCCGTACACGATAGGTTTTTTAAAAAGTATTAAAAGCGAACACACACGAACACAGGAACATTATCGCCTTTGAGTGGGTTAGTTAATAAGAAAATGGTCAGTTATTTCCGGAAATGATATGCTTGCATTTTCTGTTTATTTTTGGCTTGTTTTCGGGAGGGAGCCCGAGGGGTTTGCCATCATTCCCTGAGAAAAAGGTTATGTTGACCAGGAATGCACAGCATACTGCATCACATAACTCTCCTGAAGCGCCGCCATTGTTTGGCCGCGCATTTTGTGCAAAAACAATGCGCGGTGTCCTATCCAGTCTACATAATGGAGATCAATTCACTGACCAAAAGGTCCGTCAATTTCATTTACAAACACGCCCTCTTTTGTTCTGCTCGGATAGGATAAGTAGACCTAGAGGGGACACGGGGCAGGTAAAATTGTCCCATAACGTTAGAGCAACTCGGAACCTCGCCGACTAATTTCACTTCGCATATCACTTCCTGTAACAGGCGCCAAATTTATTACATAGTGTTTGCAGATATTGTGGGAGTCTTCATTAATGAACGGGTAAACCTAAAAGTAGCTGAAAATATACCGACATTCTTTCGCCACAAACACTGTGAACAAGAATTATAGAAACCTGACGGTTAGGTGTAAAGTAGAAATAAATTGGATCCGTGTGAAGTTGAATTTTGTTTAAGGAAAGTTTTCTTTAACGGAAAACTTTGCGAATTCAAGATCACCCCTCCCTTGTTTTAAGACATAGTTCTTGTTTACTTATTATTATTAATGACTCAACTATGAGTGGTGTTTTAGACTTTCATAGACGTGTGAACCGCCATGAAAGTGCCGTTATAAACACGATCGTGCGCGCACGTGCATCATACAGGCCTACTCGTTTCGATGTCACGGACACGTACATGTACATGTACACGAGTCGACTGCTGTGTTCCTGGATGAACTTTTTCTTATACACTGATTACTCCTAGCCGTTGAAAACTGCTCCTTTTTTGAGGGAATGAGAACCTGTCATGCTCGTTTCCCACCCTGACTCCGCGAACGATGTTCGCTTGTACTACGAACGCCCTATAATCCATAGATTTTACGTAAGATAAACTACAAGACCTTCAATTTATTAAGCGTTGAAAATGCCGCACTATTTTTCTCGATTTTTCATAAAGCAATTGACTCAATAATAAAACAAGTGTGTGGAATGTAAGTTGCAGGGAATATGACACACCGTAATCAGCCAATCTTGTGAAATTACGACCAAAAAAACAACAACAGTGTACACCACCTTTAATGCTGTAATATAAAAATGTTCTTGACAGTGATCAGCTACCGTAATTTACATTCACACCTGCTCATGGCTGCCTATTGAGGGCGTTCTGCGAAAAATGCGGGCGTTCTCGATCTCCGAGCTCCAACATGGTCCTAGTTCTGCGTTTATTGTTGCCCTCATGCCCTGTACAATATTGTGATCGTCAGATGCCACCTGGCTGTGAAAAACCTCATTAATCGATAGGTGCTTTGTGTCGCGATATTGCCTATCGAAAAGAATATTTCTGTTCGTCCTTTTTTTGCAGGTAAGGGACTGGTCTGCTCTAAAGTAACTTAATGTTAATGGGTGCATTATTTAGCCCATGAATCATGATCTACCCTAGCGTAGGTTGTTTGTATTTAATTAATAGTTTACAGTCATTTCCACATCGCCCCATTTCCAGTTTACCCCATTTCCACTTTGTCGTCCGTGCTCGAGTGTGTTACAAGCCTCTTCAAAAAATGGTCGAGAGGGCAGTTCCACAAAGACATGTAGTTATTATTGAAAACTCTACGGCATTAAATTAATGTTGACTGCGTTGTCCATTTTGGTGACTAAACCTTTTTGACGTTTGCAATGCACTATACGTGTGGATGACAAACAAGCAATGCATTTTATGCGCAACCCTATGGGGGAAGTGAACCAGTCAAAAATTAAGTTACAGTTTTCCACCAAGTATTTTTTATGTAAATGTAATGACAACTGATGTATCCACTCATCAACTCACAGATGCATGCATATTATCAGATTATACAAAATACATTTTCAAATATTTGTAAGAACAAATCACCCATAATTGCCTTTTTTTAAGGGCACCAGTCACTCTACAGGCTGAGAATGAATGTGACTGGTCAAAGCTGGATGAATGAGTTGCAAGTCGTAATTTTGATTGGACAATACTAGAACATTAATATTCACAAATTAGTCAAAGCATGGTTCATGACAAAAAGTGGTGTTGTTGGAAGGAATTCTCTGAATTTCCCTTCTCTGCCAAGCTTTAAACTTCGAAGTTTGTAAATATCTTTGTCCCAAATCAATAATGCAACACTTTGTTGGAAGACGGTGGCTTGAATTGGAGTATGAAATAAAATGGAAACAGATTAAGATTTTGCAGGTACACTTCTTCTCCCATAGGGTTGTTCATAAAATGCGTTGCATGTAACTTGCCAATAAAAATTTTAGGGTCCCGCCGAAAAATTCGGGTCCGGCGTTCAGGAAATCAGAAGCATTGTTTTGGCCTCTGAAAGTTGGGCTCTCCGATCGTTATTTGGGTACTCAAACGTCGATGTTTTTACTAGTTGCATCTAGGCCTGCAGCTCTGTTACTGAAAAACAGAATGAAGGATAATCAATGGGTGAAGTGGAGATGGGGCGAAGTGGTTAGGAGCGAAGTGGCATTGGGCGAGGTGGAAATGGGGCAAAGTGACCGACACCCTATTTAATTTATGCACTCCGATCCTTTACTTTACCTGCACTTCTTACTTGCTATCGAGTCAACTCATACCTTGGGCAACTCATATCTCAGGCAACTCGTTCCTTGAATAACTCGTACCTCGGGTTAAGACCACTCTTACCTTCATGTTATCAATTCGGTTGTAACTTTCTTGCTCCTCCTTTTCAGAATATTTAAGATCAGATTTGAAAAACATATCAAGGAAAAATCTTCATAAATCTCCCGGAGAGATCTCGAACACCAGCATGATTTTCTGCATAGTGCATGCTGCGGGCGTTTTCGCCGTCAGTTTACGTGACAAATGGCGAACAACCCCACCGTGCCCACCGTTCACCAACTTGACTTCCTTGTTAACGTTCTTTTTTGGGGGGGGGGACTTGACCAAACTCTAAATTCCATTTTTCGGGTGGACTTCAATTTATTCTTATGGCTCATTACTTTATAACACATGTCCAAACTAATCCCAAAGTGGCCGCTTTTGGGGTCTATTTTCAAACTCTTGACAATTGTTAGGTTGTTTAGACACAGAGTGCCGTGGTTGCCAAGGTTATGTTTTGACCATCGGTAGATGCTTTCTTAGTAGTTAAAAACACGATTGTGATCAGGAGAATGAGAGAGAGAAAGATGCAGCTATGCAATCTTGCATGCTTTGCAAAAAGTATGAAGTTAATTTTTCACTGTCTCAGATTTGGTGAGAGAGGTGCTTGGCCACTGCTACGTGTAAGTACTACTGCCAGGCCATGACCAAATGGGAAAAGGTGGTTTTTATTCAGAATAAGGATTGTTTGATTTGTGGAGACTAATCTGCTTGTGTTTAATATGTAAAAAAATTCCCACTGGGTTCTACTGATTACAAGGGACATTCAAACACAGATAAGACCACTGTTAATACAAGGTCACATTTATAACAAGGACAGTTTGAGGTCCCAAGTCTTTGATTTTCTTTGTTTTGCATGGTAACTACTTTAAATTTGTGAAGTCCCAAGGACCTTGTTATAACAGTGTTCCACTGGTACATGTATGTAAGAAGAATGTTGGTGAGTAACCAGAATCCACATCCTACCCTCCTACAGTATGAACAATGTGACCAAGTTTAGACAATAAATCCAGACGGAAGATTGACAGTTGGGGAAGGGAAAAAAACATCCATGGGTGCACTATGAGAACAGCTTTTTGGGCCTGTTGGTAATCTTGTTACGTCCTGACTCTAGCATTGTCCCAACTGTAGTTGACCCAGATGCTATAGTCGGGGCATAAGGCATAACGATGTCAGAGTCGAACATTAACCTTGGGAGATGTACACGAGATGCACTTGAGGTCTTAAATCCATTTTGGGGTTTTGGACGCACCCTTGTTACTGCCAACATTGTCATTTATATTGATAGATGGACTGTCCAAATAATTACAGTAGCAAATGCATGCAGAAATATTGAAGGTGATGACAGTGCCCAAATGTTGTACTATAAGGTAGGATGCCGCAGGTGGGAATACTTGAAGTAAAACCAGTTCACGTGGTATGGGCTGGAAAGTCAAGTGATTGTTCGATGTAGAAGCTATTTCGGAGCAGACCAAAAAATGCAGGAATCCAAACCTGTACAACCATTTGATATCTAGACACGACAGTACATGTAGCCTAGCTTCCTAATGACTGCACTACCGATATCTGTGCTTGAGAAAACAAGGTTGCCATGTAATCTATTCCAGACCTCATTAAACGGGTGGAGATTTGTGTGTCAGGGGTCTGTGAATTAAATGCAGTGACCCATACCGTTCGCCAACAAAACTCCTACTTTTAAAATCAGCTGGTACTAAAAAGTTAAACCCCAACTGACTTACTGCAGACAATTGGGTGTCATTGCCACTGATGTTTAATTAAGTTTCCAATCCAGATAAATTTCCATATTGCTCTTTGACTCACCAGACCAGAGATGCTGTTAATGGTGGGGATGATTGAAATGAAATGTACATACTTTGGATGCTTTATACATGTAAGTACCGGTAGGCCCTTTATGTACATGTATGCATTGCCTAGGACCCCCCCTCCATACACAAGGTAATCATAATGTTAAGAACTCCTCCTTTGTGAATACGTACCAGCACATGTACATACTTTGTGGACAGCCTGTGATGGTATCTCCTGTATTTGTCTGTTGGGGACAGAAATGAATATTTGATCAAGTTGTGTGATTTTTTTTTCTGCAGATGGCCAATTAGACCTCACAACGCAGACATGCCCAAAGTGTTGATAACTGGTGCATCGGGATTGCTAGGGCGAGCGCTGGTGAAGGAATTCACCAAGGCATCGTGGGATGTGGTAGGTCTGGCCTTCAGCCGAGCCGGGGGTGTTCTGAAAAAGGTGGATTTGAGAGATGGCGTTGCCGTCAAAAGTATCATCTCAGATTTCAAGGTAAAAAAGATCCAGTTGTATGGTTACCCGTACTTACACAAAAACACCAGTTGAGATGTTCACTTCTGTTTTCATTGCCCACATCATAGCTCGTCATGTAGAGCATTTTTGTATTTATTCGTTTATAATGAATACACATGCAGTTTGTAAGGATTCATTTGTACTGGTAGTTAAAACCGTCCAACTTGTGAATGAATGAAACAGCAACTTTGACTGAATAGGTTAGGACAGTGGAAGACCGCGATTTGTGCTGGCAAACAGTAAGTCATGTGATGTCAAAAAAACGTTTGGATATCAACTTAAGGTTAGAAAATTATGCAGTCAATTGCACTGCATCTGGTTAATCATTATCCTTTTTTTGTCTTTTTTTTTGGTGAAAGCCCAGATTTTTTTTTACTTTAAAGGACTCAGGATTCTTGGGAAATCAACATCGTTGGTTTTTATTTTACCATTAATTAAATGTTGACGCAGATTACAGACAGTGGTAATTTCAACTCCATTTTGGTTTTGTGACTGTTTTTAACCGCATGGTCATATAATCTTTTTTGGGGAGGAGGGTACGACAATATGAGCTACGTAGATACTATAATGATTTCACATCAACTTTTAAAGCACAAGTATCGTTATTACAGTGGATTTAGACAACTTACTCATTTTCCCATAGTAAGGCTAAAGAAATACACTTTTAACCATAACAGTGTTCAGTTTTTGCATGGTGTAGAGGGTTAGGGTTAATGCAAAGCTGCGGGTAGTTTCCTTAAGGGATACGTCTCTATATATTCTCGATAGAATCCTAGCTACGCACTTTTCTTTACAATGTTTACCTGTATAGGATCTGTCCTTTTTATGTCCCTGTTGTGTTTCTCCTACAAGTGGCTACTAAAACTACATGTATGGCTCTTAGAAATTAATGACACAATTGTACATGTACATTTTGAAGGAAATGGAGGTAACATAAAAACAACCAAAGGATGATATTTCTGCCAAAACTGCCCATATAAATTGTAGGCAAAACGAATGTAGTCCAGTACAGACTTTATATTGGCATCCTAGAAATTGCATTTATGTACTGGTAATTCGGTGGCTTTTAAAACTTGCAGTTTGAATTCATAACCAAAAATAGTGCTGTGGGTGTAGGTAGAAACAGATTCAAATTTTGGAGCTGTGGTAATGACACTTCTCCCCACTCGCGTTTGCTATGCAGCCAGATGTAGTCATCCATTCGGCAGCTGAACGGAGGCCGGATGTTGTTGAAAAACAGGCAGATGAGACCAAGAACTTGAATGTTGGGGCAACGTCGACAATAGCTTCCATTTGTGGTGAGAATGAAAGTCAAATCTATAATCGTCCAACTTCCCCAAGCACTTTAGGATCCATGTTTTTCAGAAGATTGTGTAGGATTGAGGCCCAACCTCTGTCATTTTACATGGAGGTTCCTTACAAATGAAAGTGTGGCAAATGTGTGGCTCAGTGTTATCGCTACGCTGGTACGGTGCAGGTTGGGGATCTCCACCATAGCGTTCTACCGTCTGGCACTAAGCTTGATGAAACAGCTCACCAACTGGCACGAAAATCCTTAAAATCACTAGTCACTATTATATATAAAAAAAAATACAAAAATAGGTATTATGGGACATTTTTTTCAAAATGAATCACATACACATCTGAATTGGTTACATTATAAACTTTATTTTGTAGGGCTTAGTCAATTCGAATAATTCGCCATTCGAATATTCGACTTCCAATTCGATCGAATATTGGAATTTTCGTTTGTACCGACCAGCAGATTGTTGATGAACAATTCATATACAAAATCAGTTGCAGTAATGCACAAAATGTTACATTTTAATCACTGTAATAGCTTCTCCTGTCTGGAAGTATCTCTAACCATGATTTAGCAAGATTAAGAGACGAACAATACTTCTTGTCCTTTAAAATTTTGTAATGCATAAATGGATTTTTTAATCGTAAGATTTCTGCCGCTTTTCATTTGAGTCTGCCTGAAACAAGCCTCCACAGTGCAATTTTTCGCATTCAAAACAAAAAAAATTTCCCTTCGTTTTTATGAATTTTGCATTTGAATATTCGAATTTGGAAAATAATATTTGATACTCGATCGAATATCCAAATATTCAGATATTCGGCACAGCCTTATTAATTTGGTGTAGGTTTGAACCCTGTGGCATTTTGCAATCTGGAGAAAAGTGGAGATATACTGTTTTTTGTTTAATCATATCATAACCATTAACAGAAGTGCTTTCAGAGATAAAACCCTTTAAACACAGGAAGTGGAAAAAAGAAATTAGCCAAGAAGAAAGTCTCTTGAATATTCATAGCAACAGTTAGGTTGAGTGTATTGATATACATGTAATAGAAGCCAGTAAACCAAGAAGTAAAAAGTCACCCTTTCCACATAGAAATCAGTTGGTGTGATATAGCACAGCGTCCCTTGATACATTTTTTTGCAGAGTTGGTCACATTTAAAGCAGAGAAATTAGCCATTATGATCTCATAATTCTAAACAGAGAAATTGACCTGAATGGGATTTTAATCTTCTACTTCCCTAACAGTGTACCAGTGCTCAACCAACTGAGCTGTCTCCATCCCTATGTTCGTTGTTCTTCCCATCTGACTTAGGGATTTATGCTTGCTTTGAACAGGTGAGATTGGAGCCTACATGATCTACCTGAGCACAGATTACATTTTTGACGGCAAGGACCCGCCATACAAAGTCCAGGACAAGCCGAACCCACTCAATAAGTACGGCCAATCTAAGTTGGATGGAGAGATTGCTGTGCAGGCTAACAGTAAGATGTAGACATACAAAGTAGCTTGAGTCCTTTCCTACGTCCCCATGTGCGCTGATTCAAAAGGTCGCATAATGAGAACCAGATAGTTAGCACCAAGATTGTGTTAACAGAGCACTTTGAAGGAGAAAGAATGGACAGGTTCCATGCACAGTTTAACAAAGGTGTGAGGAATCTACAAATTTCTGCCTCAATAATTCAGACTTGGATTTTTAAATCCAGTTCTTCTGCAGATGCCCATTGTCACTATACCTTGTCTTCCAAGCACTTGGAATTCATTTCATAATCTGAGGCACCCAGACTGCACTATCTTGTTTCTAGGGGTGTACATTTACTGGTATTTTTGGAACAAGGTACCTATTTTTTGTCAGTACCGGGTACCCGGGTACCCTTAAAACTATGAAGAACCCTTAAAGAGCACCTCTAAGGAAAACATGTTTTCTCTGATTTTATCTGTTTAAATAAATATGGAAGCATCCAAATCGAACACAATGTCATGTGTCTTCAGAACTCAACTATAACAAGCTAAAAAGGTTTTTTCTGTTCTTGCCATGATGCGAATTCTGAATGTAGATTGCATCACCAAACAAGGGAACATTGTTTGGCGTGCACAAAGGTTTATTCACTATGAACACAGGGCAATCCCAGCGGACCATGTGCCTGAAACAGGACTCTGTTTTTCTACATAGGAAGCAGCACATTGTTCTCAGTGTTTGATGGGAATCTCCCCCACCTTTTTATTAAACAAAGTGCTCCCTTTAATTTGTAGCAAAAGTAGGTCCATCAATCTCTGAATCAGAGTTACGGCAGTGGGACCAAGCTTTTCAGCGGTACGGTGATTTTTCAGCAATGTCACCCTTCACCATTAAGGTTCACATACATGTACATGTACATTTTATACGTGGATTTTTTCTTTTTACGAGTACCTAGCCCACAAAAAAGAAACCTAGTTTTGATATCATCGGGCGGGTACTTGTTTCCAAGGCGTTAACTCCCTACATGTACTCTGTGATACTTAAGTCTACTTATTGGACTTCAAACAAGACCAAACTGAAATACAGCTTGGAAGAGTTGCAGTAGTTCTTTTGGGGGGGGGGAGGAGCAGTAGACATGGCGTCAGATTTCCTCAAGGTTTTTTCTGTGATTTTTGGCAAGAGATCGTGCTTACATGCACATTTGTATCTTACTCAAACGGAAACATTTATCTTGGCATGCAAAAGACTCTGAGATCCTATTTTGGAAAATCACTCACTGTATACTTTATACATATCAGTGAAGGGACAGTGTACAAATCCAGCTTGGTACATGTAAATGTATGCAAGAAAACAATTTGAGAAGGACTTCCGCCAAAGGTGTTGGCCAAGGGTATTAGATCTCTCTGTCTAACCATCAACCCCTGTGTTAAAAAATAGTCATTTCAGCCAATGTGGAGGTACCAGCAACTTTACTCTTTTTCCTCCATTCGTTGTAAACTCAAATACTTGTTTTGCCCTGAAGTATTTCTTGTGTCTGCTCACGTTATGCCTGCAGTTGTGACCGTTTTATTGTTTTATGAATGTCTTCATAAATTATGATGTACTAGAAACCTTTTGTGGTTTTCATGACCAGCCATGCTTGCATGTTTTTTTTTAACCAACACAGGTCAGATTAAGTCAGGATCACTGATTTACTTGACTGGAAATCAAGTTAGCTGATTTTTTTTTCTTTTTTTTTTTTTTCACAAAATTAAATCAGTACGTGGACCAGAATTTGAGAGGGAGCAATCTTGAATTCCTTGACACATTAATGGACCAATGGAGGAGGCAAAGTTGCCTATAAATTTGTATGAGGTGCAGAAACACCGCCAACCTCAACAGATGACAGTCTCAACAATGAATGAACTTTTCAAATCAAATGGCACACACCCCTTAAAGGGTTTAAAATGTGAGGCACACATTGTGATTTTCTGGTAGGTTAAGCAGTTTGCGAAACAGGTCATTCTATAAACTTGAGGTCCAATTTTGCCTGTTGTTGTCACATCTGGCATGTGACTTAGTAAGTTTTGAAGACATTCTTCAATTTAAAAGAGCGATTAAGTAATGCAAATTACCTGGCAAATAAATAAAAATAGTTTGAAGTCAATTCCAATGATATATCCTTTGTCAAATGACATGGACAGAAAATTTCTCAAATCAGACCCCAAATTTCTAGAATGATCCAAATCTAAGTTGGATATTCATTCTTTCATAGCTGCCTGTCCATCAGCTATCTTGCGAGTTCCAGTGCTGTACGGTGAGGTGGAGTATCTTGAGGAGAGTGCGGTAACCGTCCTTTTCAAAGCTTTGCTGGATAGCAGCAAGGAGGCAACCATGTGTGCCTATCAGCTTCGCTACCCAACCCACGTGCAGGATGTTGCGCTGGTCTGCAGACAGCTAGGAGACCTCTACCTTAAGGTGCATACTTAACTTTTTATTGTTTGTGTTGAAAAGAAAAAAAATTTGAATGTGGTGTAAAAGATGTCCTGTATAAAATATGGACTCTGTCACTGACTGTATTGTACATGCTTCAGTGGATAAAATTAGATCAAAGATTTTTAAACTGAGTGGTAGGGTCTATTTATATGTATAAATACACCAGATTTTAGGGGAGTGGACAATTCATATGATGCCAGAAACCATTTTTGTGAAGCCATTTTTTACTTAACAGAAAAGAAATAGTACTTAGCAATTCTTCTCTTAGAGCAAAAATTAGCCAGGTATCGGTCACAGGCAATATACCTTACATGGCAATGCCACTGGGAACCTGTTGCTACTGAGCAAGACTTTTTTATATAAAGCAAATTAGGCACTCAGCCACTTTATAGAGTAGACATCCCCCACTTGAGGCAGTGCTAAGCCAATATTTTTTCCTGGCAAGTTTCTGTGCTTAGCAGCCCTTCAAATCGGCCCCATAAGGCATGAAGCTCATTCTGATCCAGCTTGTACATATTCTTGTAATTACAATCTGCATGTTATTGTTAGATCCAGGAAGGGAGATGGTTAATGAAGCAAATTGTGATTGCTTCAATTTTCTTTTTTTCTTTTTCCCAGAATCCAGTCGCCGCTAAGGGAATCTTCCATTGGTGCCACAACGAGCAGATGACCAAGCATGACATGGCCAAAGTCATGGTGGATATCTTTGGTCTGAAAGCCGACCACATGGTAGCCAATCCCAACCCTCCATCTGGAACCCCCAGGCCGTATGACTGCCGTCTGGACTGCTCTATTCTAACCAGCCTTGGGATTGGTCAGTTTACAAAGTTCAGGGAAGGAATTGAGCCATGCTTGAGACCATTCTATGAAAAGAAGTAATGTTTTCCTACTGAAAGGCTCTTTCTACATTAACCTTCCCTTCTTAACCTGCTGAAATCCAACACTTGAGATATTAATTGATTTGATGGTTTCAGAACTGTATAACCCTTGCGTCTTTCATTTACATCAGTGTGGAATCCTGATTCACTTTAAGTACAAAGATTAAGATCAACTGCTCAGTGTTCAATTTTTGTGGATTCACGAAACTTCCCAGAGCAAAAAATGCCGAGGGACTCTGGGTTATTTGAAAAGACCTTTTACAACCTTGTCAAATACATGCATCTCAAAAACTAAATGAACATATTGTTTGCACAGAGGTTAGTTGTTGGTGTAAGGATAATGGGAATGCCTTTATATGATACAATAAGTGACAATTTCTTGTACAATAACTGTACTGAGTCCTTAATTAAGTCAACAAACTAGGATCAAAGAGATAACTGCATGTAGAGTAGACGTGTGCTTTTAATGGATCTGCAGTAACAGCGAACAGTTTTACACAGTGACAGAGATAATTAAATGTAAATATTTCAAACTACTGAAAGATTTTATTTTGTGCAACTAAATTCATACCTCATGTTGTCATATTTCAGTCTTCTCCAAACTTTCAACATTTGTTTCACTCCATCTTCTACTGTTTGTGGTTTACATATCCTTGGAGCTCAAGACGTTTTGCATTGATTGAGACCTTCATTTCAAAAATGTGCATTGTATATGACGGTAACTAGCCGTGTGGACAAAATATTCCCTGGAACAACACCAGGAAAACCTGCCATATACTTGCATATTACATTTAATGTAAGTAGTTCTGTTGTAGCTGTGAAGATAGTACAAGGGGACTGCTGGTGTCATTCTCAAAGACTCTATAAAGCCATAGGCGGAGATTTTTTGTCACGTAATGGAGGGGGGATTTCTGAAAGCTCGGCACGGCCTCCATCCCAAGTGAGACTGTGACGCCGGCAAGTACATAGTCAATGGTGCAGGCTAAGGGTGCGCATAGTCAGTGACTTGAAAGGGGGGGGGGGTTAATTATATTGGTACACCCCCCCCCAAAAAAAAACAAAGTGGGGAGGGGGGTATATCCACTCCATCCCCGTAGGATCTTTACCCATGGTATATGCCAGACACCTTTTTGATCATGACTTCAAATTAAGATCAAGCAGTTTTTTGGGGGAATTTCTTTTTTGTGTGCATGCCAGCTAGAGTGCCTGGATCTCAGCATTGTTACATTAATGTTTTTCTGCTTTACCTCATTGTGAAAAGAATTACACAAAAACATTTCAACATGCTGCATTTATGGATAGATTGAATAACTATGATGTGGTATAAGGCCATTCAAGTTCCACTTTGCAGTGGTTCGCGGAAATATTCCCTTTGATAATTTTACAGTGGGGTCCTGTATGCATAAACTGGCATGCATGATTTGACCTTTGGTCACCCGTGTGATTGACTGAAATTATTGAAACTTGATATATGAATATATATAGCCATGTCTTCTGCATTCACAAAAGTGCAAACCGTTTGGGAAAAATGTTTGGAAAATTATTGTGCAAGTAAAGTAATTGGTATTTTACTTTACCATCTGTAGTTAAATCTGCACCATGTACGGTCAGTGAAAAACTTGAAAACCTCTCCTCATCCCTGGATCATAAACTGGACATTTGATGAGAGTAGTTTGTCCCACTGTTAATTGTCAAATCATCCCCAGGATGTCACTCAGCAAGCTAATAAACGGAAACAACGGTAGTGAAGTACAGTTCCCCACCAGGCATTGTAAAGTGACTTGAAAATGAAAGAAGTCATATTTATGGAGAGTGATTGGATATCTAAAGTTTATTGCAAGTGCAAAATGAGTTTAGTCATATGTTTAATTTGCTATGTAACCTTTTGGGAAAAAATCATATATTTCGATTCTGAACATGTATAGGGTTGGAAATGCGGATGATTACTAAAAAATCCTGTATGGATTTTGAGAGTAAATCTACATGTTTATTTCTAAGTGGGAGCACAGATGGGAACAGTTGCAGTATTGGCTTTTATTGTTGAAAATTCTGTTGATTGTGGGCTTATATCTGGTACATTTCTATTGATTATTAATATTTTACTCCTAGAAATACACAAATATAGAAATAGATATTAGGTTTGTGTTACTTGAAACTAATGCTATGGTGAACATTCTTGTTGGAATATTTTTCTACGGTTTAATTTTCATCAGGAGTAGACTCATAATGAATTCATTCTCAAACATTTTTTTCTCTTTGACAGTTCAAGGGTTTTGAGCATTAAATGAATAGAAACAATAATTCAAGAAGTATTGAAACCTTTCCTTTGAGTTCTAGCAGTTCTAGATCGGCTTTCGCCAGGGCAAAATATGTTGCTTTTGGGCAATTGTAGAGGGTTATGATCTTTTTCTACATCCGTTCTCTAAATTCCTATAATTATAGAAGAGAGAGTTCCAACCCATTATCAGCCCTGTCACCAGCTTTTGACTTGGGGGGCGACACATCACAAGAACAATAGATAATTTTGATGCGTATGGTTTGCCAGGTGGGGGCCCCTCCTTCACCCCCTTGGCAAGAGGCCTGCTCTTGATCTTTACACTGTCACACAGCTGCTGTCCATTTATAACCCAAATACGAATTTTGAACGGCAGTCTTTAATTGTCTGCAAAGCAGCATAGTATCAAGGCAATTCAGGGCCAATGGGCTTCCCCCCCCACCAAGAAAAGAGCCAGAATATCTTATTAAGAAATACTGAATGGCATTTAATTGTCTATGTCACTTCTCTCCCTTCCAAAAGTACATTAAAAGGTCCAAAATGCAGCCTAACCCTTCACAAAAAGGCCATAATAGTGTTATATGAAAATACGTCCAAAAAGTTTTCAAGAAATGTTGAACAAGTCCCCCCCCCCGAAAAATTTGGTTCTGGCTCTGCCCTGTGTCAAGGCATGCAAAAGAGCTGAAATAAATTGAATGTGATATTTTAATATAAAACTGACCATTGGAACACTTGAGAGAAGACTTGTAAAGTGTGGGCTTGTAAATGTGGAGGGGTTGTTTAGTTAGTTATTTCCTTGTAAGGGACTACACGGATCGAAGATGCTACCATCACTTTTTTCAAATCTAGAGGCCGTTGGAACTTTGTAAAAAGTTATGCAACAAAGTGAAATTTCGAAGGTTCGTTGTGCCCCACAGTTTATACTGGATGGGTATCAAACTCATGCGACAGCAGAAACCATGGTAAAACGCATGGACTAACCGTCAGATGGAGATGATGCGTTCTTTGCCGGCCGCCGTAACCCTGACAGTTTTACGTCCTGATAGACTGGAACAAGTTTAACAGGTTTACATCCAGGCGACAAACATATCAAATTGTGTGGTAAAACAGCAGGGGCATCTGACTACCGAGGAACATGGCTGCGACAAGCATGACGAAATTGCTGCGAATTTTACCGCAGAATTCTCGCAGGATTCAACCATTCTTCCCATGCTTGAGATGCACCGTTGTTACCAAGAGGGCCTTTAGATCATTTGGGCATGATGGCTGTAAAGCGTCATATCTGCTGCGAAAGCACATCGGCAACACAATTGATGGTATTTTCGGAGTCTGAAAAATATAAAAATAAAAAGGCATGCCGTCGTCGTGTCGGTGTCATCGGTCATGCCGCACCGGTCACTCGTATCAGGACCCAGGCCCCCCATGCGGGTCATGCTATTTAGCGTCAACAAAGTGTCAACAAAATGTTGAACATTTTTATGCAAAATTTTTATATTTACAACATTAGTAAGGCTCCCACATATCATATTCAACATGTTCAACTATCATATTGTCAAACATGATATTTCAGTGTGGAAATTTGAGCGACAAATTTGGGCCTGCTCGTGCTGCCCGACCGGCCGGCTGCCATCTTGTTTTCGCGTAGACGGTATAGAGTAAAGAAAGATGGCAGCATCCATGCATCGCGAAAAAGTTTTATTTTTCTGCATGAATCTGGAAGTAAATTCAATGTTTCTCTTACACAGTGGCAGGACTTACGGTCTCTAAAATATGAAAAAAACACTTTAAAATCTTTAGAGGGTATTTTCAAGTTGTTGATGCTTGTTGTATGTGTTGACGCTTGTGCAGCTAGCATGCCATGTCCGATAGTAGGCCTGTACTCGCAACTTCGTTCAAAAAAGGAGAACATTTTGCTAAAGAAAATTGTGGGTCACCCATCCCCTTTTGTAGAGTGACATGGTTTTTGTCAACAAAATCATGTTGCTATGGTGTTGCTCAACATGCCATACCCCTGCTGGTGCCTATGGGTGGCTATGCTATTCTGAAACTCGGCTAAAATAATTAGCAGTTTGACAGTGCCTTCAGCATGCTCAGCATCAAAGAGTGAAATTGCCTCCCCTCCTTCAAATTACATGAATTTTTTAATGGAAAAATATTTTAGGGATATTTGTTTTGACTTTGTTTTATTGTGGTCTGTTGGCGTATCTTGGATGATAAATGTGACAATTGATAATGTTGCCAGACGCAATCCACAAGGTAAATGTTTGTACAAATTTGAACATTTACCTTCTTACTCAGTTCTTTGATGTTTGTTTTTCCAGTAGGCCTAGCCTATATGCCGTGAGAAAATTTGGAGAAGCAATGTTGATATGGGTTTTAACTTGTTACGGCAGTATATTACCGTGAGGGTTAACACAAAGGGATTTTCGGCTGAGCTCAATTATGTACATATCTATGTGTATGTTTCCTCTTTCTCATACAGTAATATCCAGCAAAAGCAACCCTGGCTGATTCAAATACTCTTTAAAAGTTACAAGATTGGCAAGTTTCGAAAGTCAAACTTTTATTCACCAACCTTGCATTTTGGACACTGCAATGTCATAAAACAACACAGGAACATGGCAACTAAAACACACAGGAAACTTCAGCTAAGTCGGCACTCTTGGGACTCAAGAAATTATGACGACTTGCGCAAATGCCGTCTTGTGCTCCAAGTTGTCATTTTGCTGACTTACATGTACACATGTATTGCCTACATGTATATACATTATGATTTCTTGCACTAATTCAATAGCTTCGATTTACCCTGGTTTCTTTCTACTTCCATGGTCGATCCCAGCAAATTTGTTCTCGATTATTATCCTCATAGGCTGCAAATTTGATAATTGATCATGTGCCCCTGCGGACGAAGCAAAGAAGGAATTTTTGTGGTTTTGTGGAGAAGGGACCAAGAAAAATGTGCCGACTTATGTGAAATGACGACCTATAAATGCCGACTTAGAAATGAAATTTTCAATGGAACTGCATTGCAGACGATCAGGACTTTTGTCAAAAGGCCGACTTAAATGATATGACGACTTTTAGTTTACTGTAGATTTGTAAAGCTACATGTATGTACCTCACAGTCAGTGCATATCTCACCATGTTTTGTTGTTATTGTTTGGCAGGAGTTCATTCGGGGACATCCTTTGGCAGACTAATCCACACTAGCCCAGCAGCCACGGCCATTTCAGATCCTTACAAAGTACTGGGCGTCCCGAAGAATGCTTCGCAGAAAGACATCAAGAAGGCTTACTATGAGGTGGGCCACTGATGAGTCCTCGATGTCAGTTTTTCTCTTAATGCTACAGTTGTGAGCATTTGACAGTGACATTGCATTGTCATTGTTTATCCCTTTCCACTTGTGGTTGAGTGTGGCATAGTGGTTAGGGAAGAATGCTAACTTAACCCTCCTGTGGTTTTACGGCACATATGTGCACAAAT